TTTGCTGACGCTTTTTGCAGTATCTTGCTGTTTTTCTGAACTGGATTCCGTGCGTTCTACCTTCTTTGCCTTGCCGGATGTTTTCTTCGAGCTAGCTTCTGCAGTATCCACTGGTTTAGCCCTTGTAATCCTATTGGATTTCTTTGTACTCGATTCCGAGGTATCTGTTGTTGCCGTGGGTTTTGCCGCCCTACCGGATGACTTTTTTCCGCCGGATTCCGAGATATCCTTTGCTTCTGCTTTCGTTTCTTCACTAGGTGGTTCATCGCTTTCATCATCACTTTCTGTAACATGCCCTTTTTTCCCTTTCTTTTTACTCGTCGAAGTCTTCGAAGCGGCAGTTTTCGCCTTCTTTGCAGCTGGTTCATTCGATTTGCTTTTCACTTTTTCTTTTTTTGCTTTTAGAGGGGCATCTTTCGAAATGGATGACGTGGTTGCTTCCCCGGAAGATGCGGCGTGCTTTTCGGGTGATGTAACTGTAACTTTTATTTTATCACCGAATTTTTTGAGGCGTATTTCGGCGAGACTTTTGATTTTTTCCAGGATACTTTCTTTGTCGTCATCGGTCGCCGCATCCCAACCTTCAAATTTAGCTAGTCAATTTTACAGGAAAAGTAAAACTATGTTTTATATTAAACGCTAAGTTACATATTACGCTTAGGCAGGACCGTAACACTATTCAAGGGATAGATATTAAACAACAGTTAGATGTTTTGTAAATTTCAAAGACTGAAACCACGAGAAGAAAGGAAGAAAAATGGCAAACTTAGCGAAAATTGGGATATTTTGATCTATTAAGTGGCATAAGTCTTTTAAAAAAATAGAGTATATTAACAACGGATGAAAGAGGAAGAAGAGTAAAAAAGATACAAAATTTGTAAATTATAAGAATTATTTTAATGGTAAGAAACGTTTCGGTCCATTAAAAATCCTATACGTTTCTTACTATTACCACAGCTGGACGCCGCAACAAATGAACCTTGTAAAATCAACGGTATTGGTATAAATTATTATTATATAATAAATAAAAAATAGGTATTAGTGACAAATAAAGGTAAGAAAAAAATATGTGAGAGTGAGCAAGAAGGCAGTAGAAAAAGAAACAGAATTGCAGCGGCAAAAAAGCACTTTTACCAAAAATATCTAAGTCAAAACCATATTTTGAGGTTGTTAATTACCCGCTAATAGCCAAGGGGCTAAGGGAAAGCAAAATTATGCTAAATATGAGCTGGATAAGCAACACCGATGACATCTTAACACCTTATTTGCCTTTATCATTGTCCTGTCCTTCAGAATCTCATAATTTCTTTCTTTCTGCCCCTTCCATAAGTTCAAGACTAGCTTTTCTCGATTTTTCATTTCTCAAAAATTCAGGATTTTTTCATATCGGCTTAAAATTTCAATATTTTTGAAAAATGCCTTATAACACACTTCGGATAACAAAACTGAGCAGGATATGTGAAATTGCAAACGACGTATGTGTAAAAAAATCTTTTGGAATTTGAAAAATTTTGGAATTTGAAAAAATAGTTCTCAAGACTTTCTGATTACCTTCAATATCATCGGGTGAGTCGATAACCTTTGTTGTTGCACGACTACGTAACAATGTGTCAAACATGCAATCCGGATGATAATAAGCCTTCATTTCGGTTGGATTAGCTGAATCTGCTGTAAACGGATTTGGTACCATTCTCCACATTCGTAAATCCTGAAAAACAGCGGTGATATTTTCACCTAGTTTCCACGAAGACTTGCAGATCGCTAACAACAGGAATGGCTCCTATGCTGTAGTTTAACACTTGAGCTTATATTGGTAGTGTTTTCGCCTCTTCTCGTATGCAGGGGGAAAGGGTGCCGGCTGGGATCAGGTGTTGCATTGTGGGCTCGCACAGGCCTCCAGCATGCATGACTCATTTCGCATGAAAACCGGTCGTTTTTCCGGTGAATGCTCGTTCACTGAAGAAAATGAATGCAATTTTATGCATTTTATAATATTGAGTACTCTGTATTGCTAAATTTCGATATCCCTGCTGACACCCCATATTAAAATATATTTTGAATACCCAAGTAATGTTAAGAGGATACATGGGAAGTTTCGGATGCGATGAAAAGATGTCAGCAAGTAGACGCTAATCGCACGTGAAAAAAGCTGTTCCGTGACGTGAGGGGGCATATTTTGGCCCTTATCAGTGGAAGTTTAACGTACTTTACTTTTGCTACTTTCCATGCAACTGATTTTAATTTTAATATAACATAACTATTTAAAATTAAGATCAAATTTACACTAATCATCATAATCGTCGTACTGGCGAGGTCCAATTGTGGTAATGGTAAGAAATGTATAGGTCTTATTGGACCCCGAAACATTTCTTACTATTACAATAATTTTATTAAGATATTTTGCAATTTTTACTAATTTCTTAATATTATTTGCTTTTGTCTTCTTCCAAATTTAAAATATTTTCTTATTATTCTTTCGAACTTACTCCTTTTAGTAGCTGTTGTTGACATTTCTTACATTTAGCCATTCGTTTGGCGTAATCAAGACCAAATTTCGTTGGCATTACTGCTTCTTACATCGACACACTTCAGTAGTTCTCAGTATGCTGAAATTTCAAACTTAAAAAGCCCTACAGAGTAAAACATAAAAATAATCAGAATATGTCTCGGATGGTATTTCGCAAAATTTGGATTGGAAAGGTGGTCCGGACATCAATGGCGAATAGCTAAACTATTCGAAAAGCTTCACGGATGACATAGTTCTTACTGCCAACAGCGACTGCGAAAAATGAAAGACAGGGCGAAGTATATAAATACAAATGTGTAGTGTTCAAAAACAGTGAGTAATACATAACTAAACAGACAAATGAATGATTAAAGCATGTAAAAGCACAATTTGATGTTTGATTTATCGTCTGAGAAATACTACAAATTTTTGCGTATATTTTTAAATATTCATCGAGAATGGCCTGTCCCCCAAGCTAGACCGTTGATGAAAATCGCTTGCATCCAGGAGGAGAGAATACGGAAGATTTTAGGAAGGAGAAGTCTGGGCAATTGTTAAGGGAAGTACCAAAACTCGGCTTGGTTCGGCTCGGCCGGCGTCATACACGAATCGCGAAGATCTTTCATTGGTGATGGCGGGTAGTGTTACCCAACGAAGAGTTGCAGAAACTCAAGTGTGGGCAAGGGGGAGGGGGACGAGGCCTCCCCATTTATGAAGCTGATGCTTAGGTAAAACTGTGAGCAAATGGGCTCGATTGGATTTATACAAAAATTCCACGTAATTCCAATACGTGTTGCCTTTGGCAGCCTGCATCTGTAATAACAGCACTTACACCTCTGCTTTTTTTCTTGCAAAATCTTATAGAAGCAAAGGTTGACTTCATTCCCATGCATCTAACTTACCCCTCTTTTGCTCAATTCATACCTATAGTGGAACTTATTCGCTCTCAGCTTTACCTAAGTATCAGCTTCACAAATGAAGTCCCTGCAGACAACGGGTTTTTATAGGACAGTTTCCATTTAAGTGGGTCCGTTTTTTTGCGTTTCTTTTTTATTCGTAGGTCCTGAATCTTTGATTTCGCTTTTATTCATAAGTTTAGATTTGCTTTAATTTACTTTCCTTTGTACTGCTGTGTTGTTTCTTTCCTTTTACTGCTGTCCCCAGTTCTTGCCTCGAGCTCTTGACTTGTATCCTCGTTCCTTTTCTCTGTCCCGCAAATCCTCCCTGCAAAGCGACATCTGAACCCTCCTTCATCCCACTGTAACAGTACTCTGGAAGCAAGCAATATCTCAGCCCTCCCCCTATCTCAGGTACCAGTGGCAAAAACCAGCAGCACACTTCCTCTTCCTTTCCATCCTTCACCTCCTTCCCCCGCTCTTCCCCCGAATGTGCGTGAACTAGCCAACCGACAAAGGACTTGCGCCATGTAGCCGTTAAATCCACCTATCTTGATCCTCCTCCCAAATTCCCCGCCTCCCTCC